ATGACCAATGTCATTCCACTAGGTTTTCTGATCCACAGTATGTCAAAGAAACTGTTGCTCTATGTTATAATGCAGTCACTGTTTCTACCTTTGGATTGAATTGTAAGAGTTGTTTCTCAGTGAAAAGGGCATTTTAATAACACAGACAGCAGCATCACTTGTGCTTTAGAGGTGACAAATGTCTGCATTAGTTTTGTACAACGTATTTCTCATGTTAGCCCACGAAGGGGTTCTGCTGTTTTGTACAGAACATGGTCCAGCTCCGTAAACTAATGAGCAAGCTGCAGTTGACTGCAAGTAACTGGTATCCTAGTTCAACTTAAAAGGTCACTGAAAGAAACCTGCGTAGCGTTTGGTGTTACATCCTGAAATGCGTGCAAGAGAGGTTCGACTGTCAGTTAGGAAATCGCCTTCGTTGTGAGGATGGTTATGTGGTGGATTAGATTGCCCAAGAGGATTATGGCATCTCCATAATTGGAGGCTTCTGACAAAGAGCGGACAAACAGCTCGCAGGAACAGGGCAGGTATCGCTGATCCTGTCTCAGACGGGTAGCTGTGTCTTGCAGGGATTCTGAGGAGCAGCTGCCTCAAGGCAACCTGCTCAAAGCCTCAGGAAGTAGTGCAAGAGCTGCTTAAAAAACGAAAAAACAGCTGTTCAGGAGGGGACTGTGCAGCAATTTGCATGCCACGTCCTTGGGTAAGCACTTGTACAACCTTCTCCACCCTGCTCCAGCCTTAAATTTCATTTTTCCTTTCTCATTACAGAGAAGTAACGTACCAGAAGTGTGTACCAGTTGAATTTACACAAGCTTGCACTCTGTGATTCATCTCAAGGTAATGGCACTGTTGCTAGCCCACTGTTTTCAAATACAGGAAGCAGCTGAGAGAAGTGACCGAGAAGCACTGGTCTGCAGGGTTCATCCGTAGTCAGTGAAGGGCTTGACGTGGTGTCCCCAGGAGGAGCCAGCGTTTGGGAGGAGATTAAGCCTTCCACGCTCACTCGGGGGATCCTAAAACCATTAAATGTGGTAGAACAACAAAGGTGTGCTTTCTAATTGAGAGAGGGTCATTTTGCACAGGAATTCCACACTGAAACAATCTGAAAACTATTTTAAACTTTGCTATTACTCAGAGATGTACCAGTGGCATAAAGTATTATAAATAATAATCTGTGTATTTCTCCTCCTTTCACGATTTAGGGGCTAGCATGACATTTTTTTCTTGATTTGCCTCTTGCTTCAGTATAGTTTTAAACACTGCACAGTCAGATACATTTTTCTCTACTTCGGATAGTGCCATTGAGACACCTTTATGATCTACTTTGAATGAAAATCAGTTGAAGAACTTTCAAATAAGTACTTTTTCATTATAAAGAGAGGTTTGCATTTAGTATGAAATTTGGACTATATCATAAATTTACTTTAATTGCATTAATCATTTAAGTAACATTTGAGTTAAGTAAAGCATCGAGAAAACTTGATGTAAGTAGCTCATTGAATTTCCATACTTGGATTCCTACATAATACACTAATTGAATGTAATATTTAAAGAACTAGAGGTGAGAGCTGATGTGTTAGTAACTATGTAACTACAGCTAAATTACTCTGCATGCAAATATACAGTTATAAACTTCTGTGACTGGCTGCATTTTGAAACAGTATTCCTACAGAAAGATTAAGATCTAAAAATGGACCATTTTGCCCAGCTACTACTGTCCCTTCCGTGTAAACCACTTACTTATATATTATAGTTGCTTTAGTTTATTCTGGCACTAACCCTGAACTAAGCTGTAGATTTTATTTAATTAATATAGTTTTTACCTTATAAAACATGAAATAGCCTTTTTTTGGAAATGACAATGTTAAATTCCATACCTCTAGCAAACTCAATTGAATGCAATTCACACATTCAAGTTTAATGTAGGCTCAGCTTTAATTAAATAAGACAAAAAGAACCTGACAAACATAGATACAGGAGATTTTATTTAACATTGTGTACAAAGAAAGGCTACAAATGCCTTGGACTTTTTTTCCCCCCCAAATACAGTTTTTGGATCCCTTTTTCATACTATTTATCTCAGAAAATTTAAAAAAAAATCCAGAATGACATTTTTTCCCCCCTTTTTCCCTTTCCTTTTTTCCTTTCTTTAGGCCTAAACCTGAGAGATGTTTAGCAGTACGGTTTCAACACCTTTCAATATAAACTATTAGAATTAGGTTTTCTTTTCCAAAAACAGAGCACTATGAGATACTGAAGCACTAACAACAGCAGTATAAAATGTCAAAAACAGATTTCCTAATAGTGTTAAAACAATGCCAACAATATTAACTCTGATGAAATCCAAAATTATCCAAACAATAACAGGTTGTTTTTCTTCTACGTTTGATACTTTAGCACTAATTATATAATTTAATTGTATTTATATTTAAATAAATAGTCTTATTATCTCCTTTCCTTGGAATTCTTCATGGATTATAAACATTCGCAACACTAGAGATAAGAACAAACTACATAACTTACATGGCAAGAGAAGGCTTAGGTTTTGGGTTTTTTGTTTTTTTTTTCGCTAGACAGACACAGAAAGGACAACATTTCACAGCATCCTGCTGTAAGATCATATTTAAATTCACTGTGATGCTCTCAGTTACCCTGCACTGCAATTCATTATCCTCTCCTTGCTGCCTTGGTAGTTCATGATCACTTTTAATACTGATATCCTGTCTCCTGAAACATCTGTCCCTGTGTAGGTTAGTTTTACCCAGGAGTCCAAATAGATTGCCATTTCTGAGTAACTTGCACAAGTTTTTATATGTTACTAAGAAGTCCAGTACAAGATTTCTCTTAGGCTTTAAGATATAAGCCATAAAGGAGGGATCAGAGTGTGAATGCATTAGAAGAGGCTGTTGTGAATTGATGTCCTCCTGCTATAGCAGCTTTTGCTTTATGACCTACATTTGAAATAGTTTTCAGATATGGATCAGTTTTCAGTGGACAATTTGTGTAATCTCTAGAGTTACTGTAGCCCCCTTTTCTCCTTAAATGGGACTAAAATGCAGGAAATTTGAGCTACTTATGTAGATTGGCATTTGATCATTCAATTAGGCACAAAAAAGAAGGAGCTGGATGAGTCTCTTCCCAGTGCTGCCTTCTGGCCTCTCCCAAACTGCCCCAGGGGAGATGTGAACATCTAAGAACCAAGGCCATCTGCTCATTAGCAGGCTCTGCCCGTTGTGATCCCTGTTTTGGGTATCTGTGGAAAGCAGCTGTATTCTCTTTTTTTAGGCAGGAAGCTGTGTTGTACACCAGTATGCTCTTCTATACATCTCCTGGGATATAAAATGGCCTTGCAATATAAATTATTCTGCAGATGAGAGAAATGGTGAATCTGTAGAATGCCTTGGACTCTCAGAACGTCTTACTAGTGGGGAAAGACTCTGCAACAGTTAGTTATACTAACAAAAGCTACAGTGGGAAATCCAAAAAAGTCCTCCATTCTGATGAACCATTTTTGACAAGAGTATTTGAACATGACTACAATTAAGACAAAGCAGTAGAGCAAACATTTCTGGTAGGCTTGGGCACTCTGTAGTTATATTCATTCCCAAATATGCTTGAATTGGTGTAAATAATAAGACTCTTACGTAGCTCACAACACGGTTGTACAAGCCCAGAGCTTTAGCTGTACCTAGTCCATTCTGCACCAGAAGGCTGAAAAGATTTTTAGTTATCTGCGGGGTAGCTCCGCTATAAACTGAATCTCCCAGTGTGGTAGCTTCTACAGTACAGAAGCACATGAAGTGGTTTCTGTTGGAAAAGGAGGGGTCTTTCTTACTGAAGGTTCAAACAACACTAGTTAAGTAAATGACATGGGAAATACTCAGACAGGTCACCTGTGTATGTTTATACAATGGTCTCCTCCAATTCCACTGTAAGATGGTAACACAAAGGGAATCAACAGTTAAGGCAAACTCAATCATTTATACGTTTTCTAACTCTTGGCAATTACATTTACACATCTGCTTGACCTAGCAGGCCTGAGTCTAGTGACATGTCCATAGAAGGAGGTGAATCACAACGCCACCTACACTCAAGTGTGCTTTGGTCCTAATATTTCAACCATTTCATCATTATAGCATGTTGTGGCATTTTATACTCATAGCCCAGAAGTTGGCTCTTTCAGTATCAACTAAAATCTACCCTTCTGCTTCTATTAGCTTTTTCCTTCTTTGTGGTGTTGGTATATCTACTGTAACATACAGACTCTTTACTGCTCCTCCCTATCTATTGAATGAAAAAAGAGGTTTTTTGACAGCAAGTGATAAACCTTGCTTTCTTATCACTGGACTGTAAATTTTGACTAGCTAAAAAGAGAGATTGCAGCACATCAGAACTGGGAGGCTACAATAGCTAAATTCCTGAAGTTCCTATATTAATGTTTATTTACTGGCAATACAGTCTTAGCTCAGAGTTATCCAGGGCATAAGCTGCCTTCTGTGACTTGGAAGGAGAACTGCTCTTCACAAGTTCAGACCATGTGATCTAATTATGCTTCTCTTTTCCATTTGTGTTATTTTTCTTCCCTAAAATCTTCCTAAGGAATAGTTATTAACCAAAAGTGCTTCCTTTAGAGTTTCCATTGATTTTAACGGCAACCCATATACTTAATTCAATAAGAAATTTTATAGACTAAATCTGAACATTTATTTCATTCTAGCTTAGAATGGAGAATTCCTAACACTAACTGTAAGGCTCCAGTATCTCAGTTCCTCGTACCCTATGTTAAAGGAAGCGTATGGTATCAGGCTTACTTTTCAGACAACAGTACTATGAGAATGTTACATTTTACAAAGAAAACATAGCTGGACTACAAATTTAAGAGGGTATAAATAAGTGATTTACTAACTACACTAGGAATTTGATTAATTTGGTGATATCCACTTAGAACTTGCCCTTTCAGATTTTTTTTTTCAAGGAACAGAAGCAAACCCCTAAAACCTAGGAAGAATGTATTCGTCTTTTATTATTACAAGTCCCTGACTTCTAGAATTAAAGTAAAAAGAGAAAAGGTAGAGGTTTTTCTTAAAATAGTTCCAATTTCTTATTAAATTTTCCATAGTAAGAACGCCACATCTGGTAATGTTATCTTAGTAGATGAATAGGCAGTGAAACAAAAGAAGGATTAACCAGTGAGGAATCAGAGAGAGTTGGGTTTTCTCCATCAAATTTTAAGCATCTTTAAAAGCCACACTGGTCAATTTACATTGTATACATACTTCAAAGAATGGCACAGCAAGAGAAGTGATCACATTGTGATGCCTTCCAGTGTTACAAAGATGATGGACAGATCTGGAGTTCCATGTATGCTTTACAGAACAGTACATTTGTTTAAATAAAGTCACAGAAAATTAACATTAACATTAACAACTGTAAAACAGATATTTTAACAAGCAAAGTGAATAAACTGTAAAAATACTGCATCTCCCATAAACATCTTCTATGGTTCCACCACCTAGTGGCCAACAAAAAAGTTGCAATTTTGCTTCATATGGTGCATACTGATTGCCTGGAACTTAGCTTAGCAACTGAAGGTCAGAATTGAGGCAGGCAGTGGGCAGCAGCAAATAGAGTCAATGCGCTGCTGTATTTTGCCCTTAGTCGACACATTACAAAATAGCAGCATACTAAATAGAGCCTGAATTAGCTTAGCTACTACCTCAACTTCTAACATTGTGCAAGAATAAAGAACACCAGCAGCATTTTAATAGATGTGTTTCAATTTGGTTTCAGACACTCCCCTCCCACACAAAGCACACACAAACACAAGGCTGAAACTGATCCAGTAACTGTTATTTTTTGTCTATCTTTGAAAAAATGTCTCACAGTTTGCTTTATTTAATACTTGCTAATTGAAAAACCTATCAGTGTTTACAAAAATCCATGAGAATTTTAAAATAGTCTCTAAATGCTAGGGAACTGATACTTACTCCTTTACTCCTCTCCTTGAACTGGATATAACAGACTATCCTGCGATCACCTGAAAAAGTCTTGTTAAATGTTTTCATGTTTCAGATTCCTGCAGCTGAAAGCTACATTTTTAGAAAGGTTTCTCCAATACACTGGAATCCAAGAGTATAAGCTCCCAGTGCACATCACAATTTATTTTAAATGGCAGTTTTTATTAGTTTGCTCTCATATTGTTTATATTGTACCTTTTAATATAGAAAATGGAAGAGTTAGGTTTTCTCACACAACTCACAGGGGAATATTAAGAGTAGAAATCAGAAGGCCTTCTCTAAAGCCAGGTTTTGTATGTCCCCTTTGTTTAATATGATAAGGCTTATTAAAACAAAGTAAAAAAAAAAAACAACTGGGTAAAGAAAATACAAGTCTTTTGGAAATTCTTAATATCTGAAAATATAAGCCCATCTGAAAAACTTAATTGCAAACTAAAGGAAATCCAAGAAATCAATTCTCTTATTTCAAATCATTCCATGATCTCATCATCAGCAGTAGGATGTGCTATTTTTTCCAGCCCAAAATTACCAGTTTTGGGGAAAACATATTCATACTTAACAGAAATAATTAATGGGTTACGTTAAATTAACTTTTTTTTCCCTGATCCACATGCCTGCATGTTAGATAATGTTACATTAGAACTGAGCATTGTAATGAAAAACTAAAAGCAAAAACCTGTAACAGTAACCAAAGCAAAAGCAATTTTTCATGGTTACATAATATAGAACAGTATTTTAATATTAACATTAACTTCCTATATAAATAAAAATAAAAAAGTTGGGCAAAAGGAAATTGGCACAGTCATTATGGTATTGCTTTCCAGTTTCAACACTGCAAAAAGCAGCCACAGATTCTAAACACCAAAAGGAAAAGGTTATCACCTTACTACATGGTGTAGTTTGTTTTTTCCTTTTTAAAAAAAGTCATCAGCAGTGCTACTGCCTCAAATATATCAAACAATGACTTGGAACGGGGTAGGTGGGCAGCTAGAGTAAAAGGAGCGTTACAGAACCACTACTTAACAATGGGAACAAATATATAAAAACAAAACCATAGAGTGTGGTTTACTGGTCTGCATGACTTTTCTTGAGTCAACATTTTTCAGGATTGTGACTAATTTTGAACTTCAAAAAGGCAAAAAAAAAAAATTCGAAATTTCAAGCCTTCAAGTTTCTTTGCCTTCATTCCCTCCCTCCCCACAAGAAAAAAAATTTATATTAGGAGGTGCTTGTTGTTTTTATGGGTTCAAAAGCTGGAATGTAGTGGAAATACATATAAGAGAGAAGGAATTTCTAGTTGTATATTACATTACAAAGAGGTTTTCTCCCAGACCTAAGGAGGGAAGGATACTAAGCAATATTAAATTCCTATAAGAATCCTTACAAAGCATGCAAAATGTTGATATACTCACAAAGTTGAAATTTATATTTTTTTCCTTTTTGAATTTGCAACTTCACAATACAATAATTTCTAATATAATGCAGCAGTCAGAATTGCATTGACCACAAAATCATTTCCCTTCCTTTATTTTTTTTTATTTCCGTTTGTTTGAAAGACATCTTTGTTATTTTTTTGAATTGAGAGGTTGCAGATCACTCAGCAGAAAATTTGAAATTTAGCATACTATGGTTTGTTTTGTTTGTGGTATTTCCCCTCAAATGATGTTGACAACCTAACTGCACCAATCACTACTTTTAAAATCTGTCCCTCCCTCCTCTTCCCCATTCTGACTCCTTCCCTTGTCTTCAAGCTGCACTTTTCTTCTCGCTAGGATGATGATGGATGGTTGCTACTAAATGGATGCTGCATAATTGGGTAGGAAGTAAAGGGGGATGGAGTGGTTTATGAAAAGGGAATCCTCCCCACAGCCCGCAAGATATTTGGCACAACTGCTTCATGACCAGAATAGTTTCCTCTGGTCTGGATACCAGCAATTAGTTTACGTTTTCAATTCCATAGACAAATACTGCTGCCCTTTATGCCTATGTAACCCCACTGGCTTTAACTGAGTTAGGCAGGAAAACGCAAAGTTGGTATTTGGCTAGACCTTTTGTACTGCTGTATGTAGTTTCATAGCAATTTCTTCACTGCTCTTAATTAAAACAGGGTTGGAATTTCTGGAGAATACACATGCATGCTACTTGCTAGATTGTCCATAAAGTACATTCTGACACATCTTATCAAAGTATTTGTTTTTCTGTCTATCAGAAAAAGACTCTCAGAGAAGCAATGTACAAAGCCTCCAAAAATTCAAGTATCAAAAAAGCTATTCTGATAAAAGTTTGGAGTAAGCAGCCAGCAAAACAGATAGCCACTGATTTTTTTTTTTTGTCCTCAAATGCTTCAATTATTTTTGCAATGACAACATTTTTTCTTTGGAGAGTTGGGAATTGACAGCCTTCCAAATTAATTTTCATTAAATTTGGCAGGATCTAAGGAATTTAGCAATCCTCTCTGGATAATTTTGCCCCTGCTTTTATATGCAAACAGCAACAAAATCATAAAGCACTGAATCTAATTGTTCCTGTCTCTCTTTAACTTGCTATATGTATTTACAGTGTAATATGGTTAGGTCTGGCTCCCTTAACACCAAAAACTGTCGGCCTGTGAGAAGCGCAACAGAGGCAAGAGCAGGGCATCTCATTCCCTAGAGTTTGTACAGAGATTGCAAGGGAAGAGGTGGATGAGACAAAAAACCCAACAGTTGCAGTTGTACACAAAACTTATTTTCATTTCTTTAGAGCCCTGTTCAAATCAAGACTTGATTTTCTGAGGAGGGAATCTTAGATCCTAGACCCTTCTCTTCCCCTCTCCTCTTGGCAAAGCAATACTGGTTTTTGCGGCCTAGAACAGTACTTTAAAAACAGCAGTTATTAAAGACACAGTTGTGATATATCCTTTAACTCCCCCTCACCCAAAAAAGGGTATCCTGTCAAGTGGTCCAGTAGAAATCTTGAAGTTTCTTTATGATAAATTAAATCCATAAAATGAGGAATACCTTCTGTCACATTCCCACCAAGAATAACAGCCACACTCTGTGGTGCGTTTGTTCAAGTGTCTATTGCGCCTTCTAGTGGAGATCCTGCACAGCTCCATCTCCAGTTCAATTCTTTCTGATTCTACTGATCCAAAGTAGAGAGATTTTTCTCCTTTTTCTTCAGCTTGTCTCTGGTTAACAAACAGCAGAAGCACTGAGGGCCATACTTCCCCAGGCCAGGGAACAGGCCAGTAAAGTCTGAAGAAACATCGGTCCTCTTTCTACTCAAGAGTGGCAGATTCATGCCAAGAGCAGTTTTCTAAGTCCTTGTTGGTATGACAGGCACCTACACTTCTGTGGAAAAGAGGATGCTTTGCCTCTTGCTGTCTGGGGTAGGGATAGTCTCTAGCTGCAGGAAGTACAGAAGGACTTGAACCTGGAAAGAAAAATACAAAGAAAGAGGTAATAATAAAGCCCTGTTAACTCCTTCTCATCCTAGTTATTTGAGAGTTGGCAGACATGTTTAAATCTCTCTGCACAGGAATTTCTTGCAGTTATGTATCTGTTTTAATACAGAGTATAATAAGAGCATGAATATTAAGACTTGCAGTGTTTCACAGATGCTCTTTTCGGCTTTTATGATAAGACAATGCAGATGGCGTTCCACCTCAGTGAAAAAGTATTTCTGATTTATAATTTGCTATTATTAAAACAAGAAAGTACGAAATACAGCCTGAGCAGTTAACACAGCCTCCCCATTCAAATTCTCTGTACCGCCTTCAGAAGGCAGCAGGGGCCAAAGAAATCTGAATCCACAATGATATTTTGTTGTAAATTAGTGAACGTGATATAAGTAATGAGGAGCACCATGGAAAAACACTGACAGTCCTTCTCTGTAAAGCTGATATTAGGCACTGTGAGACAGCTCTCAAAAATTCTAATTCTTCATAAGCATAAAGCACCCAGGATGCACTCACACTGACATTTTTGCATGAGCACCTGTATTAGTACAGATGCAAACTGAACTGCCTGAGGAAACACTGTGCCACAAACTGAGTCTCAAATGTGTGTGTTGGGGTGAAAGCTGTTTATGTTTCTAACAAAACTATCATGAAAACATAGAAGGATGGCTGAACCAGGCCTTGCTAGGGGACTGTAGTTTCCCCACACATTGTCTTCAGAAGATTCAGTAGCACCTTTAGGATTTTACCTGGGACATGACTTCTAGTGACCAACTATCCGTCATTGTTATAGGCTGGGTAGGGTTAGCAGGGATTTTACTGTCCTTCTCTGAAGGTCTCAGCAGCGTTGGTCCAAAGACAGTTGCAAGATTATGCAGGGACATCTTGTTAATGCTTTCCCTCTCAGCAACCCTGGAGGAAGAAACAACGGTCAAAGAGGATTTTTATAAATACCTGAGCTTTTAAGTGTCTTTAAGGAAGAAGCTATATTTGCTCCTTTTGTAAGAAGTTTTAGATACAGGCATTCAATCAACTGCTATCCCGTAAGTGTTTCAATTTATTGTATATATAAGCAATAGCTTGATCTAACAGCCACAGTCTCTAGGCACTCTATAGACTGGCAAAGGGACTGCTGCTTATTGTCTGAACAGACAAATGTGGCCCTGGAATAAAGGAATATTTTTTATCCTAGTTTTATAAATGAGAAACTGAGGAACACAGGTTAAGAAAGTTGAACAAGGGCACAAAAGTCTGCATCAGAAACACAAGTGGAACCCATATTTCCTGGATTTTAATCCAGAACCTCAGTCACAAGATCATCTTTCATCTCTACAGTGACAGTCTCTGTACAAAACACATACATAAAATAAAATACTGTGCATCTATTAAACAAGCTTATTGCATTAATACCAAAGACATGGAAAATGTTTTTCCACAGGTACAACCATATTATAGAAACATGAACAACATCAGAAAGACTGGTCCAAGCAAGGAACTGACAACTGCAGCTACTGGAAGTGTGAAGCTGGAATTTTTGAATACATATCATGTTAGATTGCAGATACTTTTTGAGATAGGGCTCACGAGTCCTTAATGCTACCGAATCTTTATACTAAAACCTTTCCTAATCATTGTATCCAGATAAATTTGTCCAGATGCAGGTGCACTTTTGCAGAGCTATCGCAGCAGAAATTTGCATTTGCACTAGATAAGCCTGAGACTTTTGGTACCCTTTCCCTCAGTTCTAATCCTTTTGGTTTCATGGGAATGGAATTCAGGATTTAGCGCCTCACTAGGAATATGAGACAACAGTTATCTGATGAGCATTCACAGCGAATCAGCAAATGCTTCATTTGCTTGATTCAGCGTGTACTTAGGGAAAGGCTCCTCTATCCAACTAAGCGATCCACATATTACCTTTTTAAATGGTCCAGAAGGAAAAGGAATGTCACAAGGTTGGGTTCTGGAAGCGATAACAATAGATTCAACATACAGCTCTCCTTTGCAACAGGGTCTGAAAGTGCTACAAGACAGAAAATCAACAAAACATCAACAAAACTAAACATCACCACAGGCAGTGAATAATTATTTGACTGACTGCGGAATTTCCCAAACCAACAGACATGGATGCTCCTTAATGGATGGCAATGAGATTGCAGGTTGCAAGATCAGAGTTGCACATCAATACCTCCCAGAATCTTTTTCCTTTATTTCACAAATGTGCAGAGAAATCTTTTTCCTCAAGCAGTTGAAGTGCTTTCAAGCTTTTAACCCTTACTTTTTTTTTCTCTCCCCTTTACATCAGGGCATGACAAGGAATATCCCCTCCAAAGACGACGTCTCTGGAAGATTAAATAGGGCAAATAATATGCACAGCCTCAACAAATAGGCTGTCATTCTATTTTTAACCTAACCTTCAGAAAAAGGGCATTTTCAACTTTTAAAAGCACAGCAATTGCCCAAATCAAGCAGGTTTCCACCTTATTTCTGAGCTGCATTTCACTTCTCTTACAGCTTCCATACAGCTTGTTCCCAGGCTTCTGTCCAACATTATAAATATGGGTTTTATATTGCTTTAGGAACAGCCTCCTGCAAAACAGTGTTTTTAACAAAGGTCCACGTTATCAAGGGTTATTTTTGCTAATACCTACCAATTCCCTCAGCAAAGTTGGGGTACAGTTCATCTGTGAAGAGGGGTTCAGGCAGCTCTCGGAAGTACAGTTTCAATGTGCCTGCAATAGCATTAACATCCATCTCACTCATCATCACTGACACATCTTTGTTATCTGAAAGAGAAAAGAGGAGTAGCAGGTAAAGAAACTGCTGGCCTTTCATTCACTCATTTTTTTCCCTTGCTCTGGCTCTCTTTGTTTATCCTTCCTCTTTGGCCAAAGAGCTGAGAGTCTTCCTGTTTACATTTCTCTAGGTTAAATGAGCAGTTCTGACAACTGAGAAGTGCCGCAGAAATGATTCCAAACCGTTTCCAGCTTTAAATCAACCAGAGGGAAATTAGCACTATCTAGGGTTCTTTATGCTGTGCCAGCCACCTGTGCCTGATCTAGAACAAGCCCGGCATGACTTTATTTATATGCATTTAACTTTCTGTTAATGACCACAGTTGTCATTCCAATTCCCCGCCTCTAACAGCTTAGAATAAGAGACTCTGAGGCTAACTCCCCACTGAGCGTAGTTAAAGTACACAGGCAATTCAGGGCTCACATTTCAGTTTTGTTACCATAAAGCACAACAAAACCAACCCTCTTTCCTGAAAACAAACATCAGACCGACCAGCAGAGCCAGCCATGGTTTCATGAAAACTAGTGTAAAATGTCATTTAATGCAAATGAAAAAGAGTTGTTATAAAATACAAAAAGGAAGAAGTTGCACAAAAGAGTCAATAAAAATGCAGGAAGGATGAATTCAGGCACCTGGCACAGGCTTCATGACCACTTACATCAAAAAAGAGCTCAAATGTGGCTTGAGTGATGCCTAATCCTTGGACCACCATGTGGAGGCTGAAAGTAGGGCAGAATTTCACCTTCAGTACCTCAGCGATTTAGAGGTGTTTCATCGGACTGATCTCGGATGCCTTTTGGAACACATATGCCATTCTTTTAAACGTGGCACACCACTATGGAGCCCTTTTCTGCCCAAGATCAAAGAAGGCTTCACAAAGGTTGGCCAAAAGTATCTAATTTTATTAACCTCATCGCACCAAATGAGCCAGAGAACTGTGGAGAACTGTTAAGAGGAGAACTCAGGAGCCCTGACCACAATAACAGATGCATTGCTTAGTATAATGATCCGTCCCATTGTATGTCTCAGGTTATATCTGTAGCTGAAGAACGTTAATAGAACATGCAGGCAAGGGTAAAAATTCTTCCACAAAAATCTCTACCTCCTAATACTCCTTGAGGTACTTATGATTAAAAGTAGCACATCTATCTGACAGGGAGCTCACATAGGACCTCATAGCATGAAGGGACATCAGACAAATACTTACTGACATCAAAGGCAGCTTTCAAAGCTTGGATATCAGTTGCAACCCCAGAGACACGGTAGATGCCCACCTCCTCCATTCCACGCCGCTCTATTTCCTCCACACACTGGCGCACAATGTAAGGCACCTTTGATCTCTCTCTCCTTAAGAGAGCCAGAGAGAAGAGTTCAGTACAGACCACACCACCAATGCTTCTTACCCCAGCTAGCTAGGCTGCCTAAAATAAGCCACCATTTTGCTGTGTGGACCTCTTCTGAAGGACGAGGTGAGAGAAGGTCAGAGCAGGCAATCAAGACAGAGCTGAGAAACTCCTTTTAATACTGGAGAGGGTTTTCTGAGTGTCTCGGCCTGGGGGCTGGCTGTTCTGCAGCTGCCCTGTGTGCTAGGGCTTCTGGCTGGGTCCTAGCATTCCCAGAGTTTGCAACTCTGGACAGGTAATCGGAGGATTCCCAAACAACCCTTGGATACATAGCAACCCTGCAGCTATCAAATTAATGCAATTCCATAGGGAGGAAATACCACATTTCCCAAACTATTTACCAGAACAAACAGGTTTCTCCTGGCAAACAGTTCATGACAAAAGATCAGGGGTTAAAATAATACAGCAAGATCCAAAGAACTTGAACATTCCGATTATGGAAAGGAAATATCTCTGTTCAGTGGCTCTGGAAATTTGTGACCAAGTCAGCTAACTACAGAGTAAAAGGGCAAGGGGCATTTCCAGAGCTCAGAAGAGCAATATGCTGAAAGTAAACACCCTGCGCTTCCAGTTTGTGTGTGTGCTGTTTCCTTTCATGCAAAGGATGAAGCTGGGAGAAAGTAAAGCCTCTCCTTTCTGCAGCAACAGCCATCTGCATTACTCCCCAAGTGAAGGAGAGTGTACTGACACATCCCTTGGTGGGGTAAAGACAGGTGCAACCCACTGGCCAATTGTGTTTTTAAAAAAGCAGTAGGGAGCAATGTGGCCCATCAGCTCACTTGGTGACGATAGCAATCTTGACCCCAAAGACTCCTGTCTGTTTCCGGGATGGCATCCTTTTCAGGCTAAATTCCCGGCTGGTAAACTTCACCGACAGTTTCACTTCAACCTGGGAAACAAAAAAAAAAAAAAAAAAAGACAGCTGTTACATATCAAACATTTTCTTCTCTTTTCTTATGCTGCAATAAAGAGCAAAGAAATAAACCACAAGTGAAGTGTAAAAGCAGTGCTATTTTCTGTTTTCTGTACTTACTCCATTCATTGAGATGACTGTGCGTTGCCAATCTTTGTCCTGTAATGCCTGTGGGTCCAGCTGAAAAACAGGAAAGAAAACATGAGCTAGAAACACACTTCAGAGAAAATCAACTAGCCTGGAAAGGCTTTTGGAGGTGAGCAGAGCATTGCCATTTCCAACATGTAACTTCGTTCCCATAGGAAAACACATTTCCCAAGGATTCCCAAGTTTCAAGTATCAGGACACTCAGATATTGTGCCCTTCTCTGAGCAGGGGTGCTGATGACTCACACCCATCTATATGGAAAATCCAGCAACATATATGTAGCGCCTGCTCAACTACAAAGGAAACCTCAGCAAGCAAAATTGGTGTCTGAAAGCTGATAATCTCACCTTTCATAGAAAGGGTAACTGCTCTCAGTTGACATAGCACAACATGCACATTAACAAACAGCAAAAATCATCCCATCTCACAGGGCTGGGAGTAACAAAAAGGGAGGAGACTTTTCTGAAAATAGCTCTGATTTGAAATAGAGGAAGGGCACTCTCTCACTCCCCCTCTCAGCGTGCGCTCTCTCTCTCTCTCTCTCTCTCTCAGAAATAGCCACTGGAAGAAAGCTGTAGGATCCGAACCCAAAAGTCAGGGAGGATCTCATTTGTTCCCTAAAGTGTTGCCTCAAAGAGGATTTGAATATTTCTTTTTAAAGTTCAGGAAAAACAAGATCAAGAATCGAAGAACACCTGTGTATATGTATGCACACATATACACCCTTGTCTATGCATTCAGGTGTGCTTCATTTCAGTTTGGGAAGCCTTCTCGTAGTTCATTTTCACAATCAAAAAAGTTATTTAAATGTAAGCACTGAAATATTCAAAGCTGAAATATAAAAAGTACAGCCTGAGCTCCCATTTTCAGCTTTGCTTGATCTCTTCTGAGTGGACAGGTGGAAGGCTGGGGAGCAGCCTGCTCAAGCGCTCAAACCAACATCACCAGCATTTCCACTACTACCTGGGAGTGTCCAAACACTTCTGAGCTGCTGAAGGCTGGCCCCCAGCTCCAGCTGCACTGGTAAACGAGAGAAAAGACCTTCCAGCATGGGGTAATCAGCAACTAGCCAAAGGAAGCAGACTTTGGTGACTCCTGAGCTGGCTTTGTAAAACCTGGTTCTTGAACACCGAGACACGGTAAGACTGGAAGCAGACAACTGCACTAGACTCCGGGTTTGGAGTTTACTGTCGTCAGCAAACAGAATGGCATTCAGTAATTAGAGCTAGTCCCATGGCACAGTTCCTCCCTTTCGCAAAACCCCATGCAACAGCAGTGGGTGTTCTCTGCCAGGCAGAGGTAAATGCTGAACTTAATGCCTGCTGCAGTACGTCCTGGGAATTATTAGATGCAATCACACTCATACACCCTTTCAAATCAACAAACTGGCCCAATGCAGCTGTTAGTTGCAGAGATGACACTGTCCCTCGCCAAGCCCCAGAAATACGATCAGCAGGGAGGAAAGTTTCTCCCTGCTTGCTCACACTGCAGAGACCCAAAGAAGCACCAGACAAGATTAAGTCAAGCCAACCTTATCTCTGCGCACTTTGTTGCGGACGTGAGCCCACAGTGGGATGCTGCCAGCACACACATACTTCCCTGTCGAATCAGACCGGTTCCTGTAGGTGCAATTTTGGCAGAAATTCCTGAAGATCCCTTGTAAGGAGTAGTCAGTAACCAACAGTTCCCACATTTTGGGGCTGCACGGAGGTTAAGGTCTAGGAAGCCAATGAGCAGCAGCGCTTAGCTTCAGTGCTCCAGCAAACCCAAATAACAGCCTGTTTGCCAAGAGGGCTTGCTTATAACTCTGGCTGACCAGATCCGCCCCCGCCTGTGAGGCTGGCCAAGGTCTCCACAAGTTGGCCAGAATTTAGGCTGTTCTCATCTGGATTTCCGTGCTGGAAGTTTGGTTTCTTTCAACAACTGCATTCCTTTCCCAGAATACAGAGGAAACCATTTCTGAAGTGTCTGGTTTCCTACAAAGGGCAACCGTGCTCAGTATTCCTGAAAACTTGACCTCCAGCTGCTTAAAAAGTTATCTTCCAGTTACGCTGCCAAAACGGCCTGGCTGATACACACAGTCACAACTGATCCTCCAACTTAGAGGTAGTTTTCCATATGCCTTTAGAGTGGACTCACTAAAAGTGTATTATTTGTAGCAGAGAGATAGTGCTTAAGATTGAAGGGAGAGGAAGGTTTTGAATATTTGCCAAAAAAGTTAAAGGAAGATTCCCGCAGGGCCCAGTTACACATTACTTAGGTTACCAGGCATTACCAGTTATGCCCACGTTCGAGGCTACGTCTAGTGAGCTCCCACCATGGTGCAAAATGAAAGCAAGAGATGTTAAAAAATCCGAGCAAGCACAGTCCTACTCTGTCTGCGAAGCAAACGTCATATGGCCACGAAGGACTAGCAGAACCTCAGGCCAGCGCCTGGGGGGACTCTGCTTGGGGGCAGCGACGGGGGCTTGGCCAGCACAGCTAGCGTATACCTGCGGCTCCCTTACCTCAAAGCTCTGCTGCTGGGCTGGCAGCAGCCCCGCGCTCCCCGCCTGCTCCTTGAACCGGGCCAGGGAGCAGGTTGTACTGAATGGACAGACGGGGACAAAAAGCACAGGGGAGCGAGACTGGCTGAACCTGAGCCAACCTTGCACAAACAAACAAAACAAAGCAAAACAAAAACCCCAACCCCCAGCTCAAAGTGCTTTTTAAATAACGAAGTTAAACGAGGTAAACAAATAAAAGAGCATGTCTGCTCTTAGCAATACTGAATGAGACAGGAAGATCAGGTCTAACAGCCTGATAAATCACAGCAGGAAATAACAGAGTCAACAGGAAACACAGACCGTCATTTAGGCTTTGAGCAAGCTTTCAGTCCTGGAGCCTACAGGTGCCTGGCCCTATGGAGCCAGCAACAGCGACACGGCGAAAGGGCAGCCGGCGCAGATGGGTTACAAAGGAAACCAAAGACAAAGGGAGCTAGCGAGCGCGATGCTTCAGCATGGAGAGGGCCTGTGACAAATGGGGTCATGCTGTCTTTTGGCCCGGTTTGGAGATCAATGACCTGGAAGAAGGAGCAGGGAGTAGAAGAATGCAATCTGCCGAGGGGCGCGAAAGGCGGCGGCTCCGAGCGAGCAGGCGCGCGGCGCTCGCCGAGGAGCGGGGAGGCACTGCGAAATGGCCGCCTCTGCATTAATTTGACAGAGAAATTTACTGCACCTCTAAACATTTCCTCCCAGGCTGTCTTCTCAGGGTCTTGTTTGCACAGTTCCCACCAGAAGTGCATGCTGCACAGCAAAAATACAAACAAACCAGTCTGTTTTCGCTCCCCCGGCACGTCAAGTCCCCTTGTGGTCTGTTCTTCGGCATTTGCTGTGGCGAGCTACAGCCCAAAATTCACTAACAGATCAAGCAAACGTCTCTCCGTATCCGGCACGAAGCACAACCGAACAACGCGGCGCAGGAGCGCAGGGATCTCTGCCCCGGCCCTCGACGCAGCTCAGCACCGAGCCAGGCTAGGGGACGAGCGCGGCGCAGCCCGGAGGGGCCGCGCGTGCCCAACGCACGGCGGGGAGCCTGGGAACAGGGCAAAGCGAGGATCCCGGGCAGCAGGCAAGAGAAGCCAGGGACTAAGGAGAAGGGAGCCTGTGCTCTGCCTTAGGGAAACACCACAGAGTTTGCTGATCTTTTTCAGTAAAGTGAAAAAGCATACAGTAAGAGAAAAAACAAATAAGCATCAGTGGAAGCGAAAGGCCTGGAGCGAGGCAGCCTTAAGGTTACTGTGTTTTATGTTATTTACCCACATTACTTCCTCCCTTTATTAAATCTCCATGGCAGCTTCACACTCCAGCAATTTTTAATTGTAACTGATGTGACATACATGTTGTCAGAGTCTCACCGCTGCTGGAAACTCCCAGTCCAGCCATAACCCCATTCTTCTTGAAGCTCCCCACTGACATGTTAATCTTTCCTGCCATCACCCTTTAGACACGACCCATTGCCTTCTTCATTTCCACCCTATTTTCATTGCTGGGATACTATTCTGCATGAGCAAACTGCTTAAATGAACTTGAGTGTGAAAAAGGTTTTCTGAGTTGACACTTGGGAGGTACAGCATGTGACAATCTGTTTTACATGGAAAACAGTCTAGACGTCTGGAATAGCCGTGTGCACTGCTATGAGACATCCCAGATAATTAAGCAGATAAGAGTGATTGTTTTGCATGGCAACAGAGGAACGGTGTTGCACGGCTACTACAGAACGAATGATCTAAGGTCATATCCTCTCTGATTTTCCAGCACTGCTGTGAGAGAAGGAAATGGTTTGCCTGAGCTGATCGTGCAGAAAAAATAACGGAGCAAGCAGAGTTTCTAGGCAGCACCAACTGGACGAGATGGATCACCGGGTAAAGGATTCATTTGCTCATGCAGTTTCTTCCCAAAGTTGAGGCCAGTTTTGCTGACTTATGCACCCAGTTGGATGCAGAGTGTGAACACCAAACAAAAGGCTGCTACGGCCGAAACATGGGGATGTGCCTGCCCCATGATGTGCAAAATTTGAAGGACAAAAGGGCCAACCTCCCAAGTGCCAAAGATGGGTTGCAAGGTAGCAACCGGGAAAAGAAACAAACAAACAACAAACAGTTCAAAATGAGAGGAGATGATACTTACAACTGAACTAAGCCTCACATTCCCTGCTATAATAAGATGTCCACTTCCTCCTCTCCCCAAAATACCAGATAATCTCAGCTTTGTCCCAGGAATGGCACCTTCTCCCTGCATTTCTCAATGCCTGAGAGGTAACAGATGCCACCACCCATGTGTACAAGTTAGCTAAATAGCTGCACATGCAGTGCTGCCATTCCCAAAAGGTCTGATGAGGACTTTCCTTCTACCTTTACAAGAGGCACTCCCATATTAAACCTAATGGTTTTATTTTTCAGGGAGAAAACTCTCAGGTTGACAAGCAATGAAGGTCTTGCATGTGGCTATAAAAACAGGTAAATAAAATATTCCATAGGAAGAGAAAATATGAGCAATGGGAGCTATTAAAATTAGTGCCATTCCTGGAAGCTTCTGAACACAGGGACCAATTTCCAGTCTTCCTTCCTCCAGTGCCATTAAGTAACGGAGAGCTTTATTAAACATGTCGCAGCAAAAACAGTCCTCGTCTCCTTGATGCATTGTCTTCATCTCTGCAGCCCAGAGAATTTGGTGAGTCAGAAATCCCAGGAGTGGGAAGTTGCAGATTTACAATAATAATACCTGGCTTAACAATACCCCGTGGTTTAGCCAACACAGAAATTTCCCTGTGTTTATCAGCAGTAGGATGTACGCATGACTCTTGATGTTCCCACAGTTTTCAACTTAAGGGAATTTTGGAAAAAACTCACCCAACTTCATAGACCTTGCCTTTACACAGGACAGACTTCAGCTGAATAACGATAACGACAATGACAACAACAACATGCAAACCCCTATTTACAGCCGAATCTAAAGTAAACAAAGCTTAATGTAGAAGCACCTGTGAAAATCCTGTAAGAAAATGAATATAAAACAAATGATAGGAAAAGATGCTGACAACATTAATAAAATTAACCTTCAGCCACAGATTCTGATTTGATTTTGTTGCTGCGTTATTATTATTTCTTAATAGAGAGAAAATCTTTGGTAGTTTGCTTTAAAAATAAAAACAAAACAAAATAAAAACCCTTAATAATTCTTACCAACCCAAAACCTTACTAGACTCTGTTGTGAATTCTCTTTACAGTTATTGAATAATGCTAAAAATTTGTATTATGGGATAGAAATCACAGAACTGAGAAATCCCTGTGAAAGAGGATGCTCTGAGAGGTCAAGAAGTTTCTTTATAAATTGCAAGGGGGATTTACAGAAAGCGAGGGAGCTTGAGGGTTTGTTTGCTGTGATACAACAGAATGCGATTTTTACATGCTAACCCAAACATTTTTCTTGGTATTTTTCCTTTCAAAATAGTTCAGGTTTCTCTAAAAGAATCAAGAAGTAACTAATATTCAAGTGTTACCAAAAAGTATTTTTACTTATTAAACTTAAGTAAATAATCTTTTAACATGGGCTATAACTGCCACGTGTAAAAATGCCCATGCTTGTGAAAACAAGTTTTCTTAAAAAGTGTAAAGGTTGTATTCATTTTTAATCATTCTATGCAAAATATTTGAAGAATTTAGAGGTCAGTGATCCGAGGGTCCTCCAGTGAGAGCCCACAAATACCCAGGGGATTTCAGGGCTGAAATTTTTTCTTTTGTAGTTGCCTAGCTCCATGAAAAATAACTTTTGTCAGAACAAGGGACATGCAGATCTCCAGTTAGCCTGAGAGAGATCATAGGAGCCACCATGTACTAGCACATGTATTTACTTGTAAATGCATTTTCTTTCAAATATCTACCAGTAGGTTTTGTGACAAAGCTTTGCCTAAAAATAGCATGGCGGTCTCAGGACTGCAAGGTGGGAGAGAAGGGAACAGGCCTTATGAAACTCATTTAGCCAATGCACCCTTCTACAGTAAAGGTGAGATATGATCCCGCAGGCCACCCTCAATCGGAGCTGTTTCTGAAACCCCACAAGTGGCCCTGGCGTGTGTGATCATCACTCAAACGTTGGAGGAAGCTGTCGTTCAACGAGTGGTGAAGAGCCAAACGTAAATGAGGGAGAACTGACGGTGTTGTTCAGAGAGCCAGGAAGGAAAACATAGCTGGGCTGGGTCTCTGCTCTGAACAACATCCAGTCCAGTCCAACTCAGACTATGTGTCCTCGGAACAAGCATTTAAACACACCCCTAACACCACACAAGGAGAGTGCAGCAATCTGGAGGAAGAGGGGGAACACACGCTCTCCAAGTCATCCTGCACTGAGGGGCCTGATTCCCCCTGTATGGAGCTTTAGCTCTTTAGCACATAGCAGCTCCCTGAAAGCAGCATCCGCTTTCAATCATCTAATCACCTCCCCCATTGTATTACAAATTTGCCACATAGCCAAGGTGTCCCATGCTGATTCTCAGTGGTGGAAAGTTCAGATAACCCATTTATCTTTCTCAGATGCAGTCTGTTGTCATGGTCACTAAACTCTGGACCTGGCAGTTATCGGGACAATAAGCCTGTCCTCCAAGGCCTTGCTATCACATCAATCAACTTCCAGCACGTATGGAAGGCAGCATTTCTTCCGTACGATTTACCAGAAGGGGTGCTATATTCATTACTTTCTCTTTTCTTACAGCCACTTCACCGTGCCACAAATCGAGGATACTCAGCAGTGCCCAGGGCTCAATGACTGTGCAGTTAGCGTGTACTCTGCTGAGAGTTCTGATGTTAAGAGGCAAACTGTAGATCAAAACTCAGCTTCTTCCAAGAAAGCATCTATTCCACAAAGGTACTAAAGTAGGCATAGGGGAGAAAGGATGAGGGAAAAGCCTGCTGACTTCTCAGCTGTGAATCACACACTGTCTTCCTCACCGTCTGGAGGAAAACTCCCAATGTCGAGACAATCAGAAGGCAGAAAACAACTCTGCAAGACACTACAGGGTTCAAAAGTCCCATCATGTTTTGCAGTAAGGGTAGTAGGAATGAGTTAAGCATAGTCTTACTTGGATCTGGCCTTTCCCCATTATGCGATCTGTGCTCTCTCCATCCTCTTTGGTGAGCTTGGTTTTGTTGTAGCACTTTTCGTAGCACAGAATCCGCAGAGTTTGTGAGCCTTCCAGCTCAATCTCAAACTCCTGCAGGGCACCAGGAAAGGAAACAGCAATGAATACACCACAGCAGGATACTTGCTTCTTAATAATCTATGCAGTCTCCTTAAAACCTAGGAGGAGAAAGCACTCACAGACTGACCAAAACCTCCTGCCTCATGGAGTTGGTCTATAAATCAACTGGAGTTATATTTTGTGTATATATATACCAGAGACCAAGCAAGATGGCTGACTCCTTAGCCAGGTTTCACTGAATGTCAGTGAAGCATCATTTGAAGAAACAAACTTAACTCACGTTCCTTGTATTTAATTTTACTCCCCAGCAGGTTTACAAGCTGGCTGTTAAAAAGCAGAATGTCTATAAGCTAATTCTTCCACCTCACAACAAATAAACAAAACCACCTCCAAAAACACCTCCTTATTCAATATATTTTCACTGATATCTTTTAAAAATTAGAAAAAAAAATAATCAAACATATCTGCTTAAATGATATGCTGGACAGCAGAAGGCTCATTTGTGCCGAAATGTTTAACTATAGATAATCCAAGAGAAAAACTTCTGCAAGCGCTAAGAGCTAAGAGCTAGGTGAAACGACAGCCTCCTGGCACAGACATGCTTTCTCAGAGGCAGCACATGCAGCACAAGTCCAGAGCGCACAGCACAGGCTGCAGACAAGCTGTTCTTTCATTTGCGGGTTATCTGCCGTCATGTGCTGTTGTTCGGCACACAGAACAACTCACATGAAGAACGGTCAACCTACCTCATTCCAGTTGGGCTCTGTGGTGTCCCTGTAGACTCTAGTTTTAGCCTTGTTCACAAAATACCCAAAAGAATCCACCTCTAATGTGCAGTACAAGTCTGAGAAGAGAGGAGACAGACACAGAGGCTTTGGTCAACTCTCTAAAATTTCCTATCTTACATGTATTACTTTTGAGGTGTTTCTGCATCTGTATCTTCTCTGCATTAATACCAGTAACACTGTCCAGTGCAAATCCTGCTTATCATACTGTGCATCTGGACCAACAGGGTTCCTTTTACGAAGCCAAAGTACCAGCACAGCAGTGTCAATGACCTCAGCATGGACAAGCCCTTCAGCTGGTGTATGCTGGTATCCAGTACTTCCCAAATCCATCCACCCTGAGAAGAAGGTGTACAGTGTGCATCCATGAGAAATGTACCTTCCGCAGGTAGATACTGGATCCCACGAACACATCAGAGCTGACTCACTGAAAACAGTATTGGTGTCATAGTATCCCTCAAGGACAAGGTTAGGACTCAGCCATCACAAACTCATTATCTTCCCAGAGTGGTTAATTATGAGCTATCTAGTGTCACTGAAGTGACGATAACGAGCTGCAGGCATTTCCCGTTTGTAGTGTTGTACTCTATGTTGTCCAGTTACACACATTTGATAGAAAATACTAGTTTCAAGAAGTGAAGGTCTCTACATAGAATATGAATATTGCCCTGCCAGAGGGAAAGACGCATCTGAATGACAGCAGATTAATGATTTGTTAAGAGGTAGAAATCACACCTTTCCTCCTGAGACTGCACACAAGGGTTAGATGAGAACAGGATCCCCAGCCACATGGCTAGGTAAGCTTTACAACAACTTGCCAGCTGGATAATACAGAATAGCAGGCTCCTGCCTCTTATCTAAGGACAGACAGACACTGATGAAATTTTATCTTACTCCTTTTCACCTTTGTCTATTACCTCTGTAATGGGTGCCTGCATATAGGTTTTCTATATACATCATTTTATATTTATCGCAACCTGTGTTAAGGATGGTTTCAAGGTTAGTGGGCAAGTACCAATGCCTTGCATTCCTGAGGGCCGACGTTGCTTAAAATAAGTGTACTCTCCAGTCAAATGCTGTAGGAGGCACCCACACCAAGCTGCACTACCACTTTGGGCGTAGAGAGGTAACACTGAAAAAGGTATCTTCTGGTGCGCTAAAGAAAGCATAAGAACAATTCTTCCTGAATTACCCTCATTGATGACTAAGAAGCATGTGCATTTCTGCAGGGGCACTCTGCTTTTTACCTCGTTTAATCCTTCTGTCAAATCTTTGCCCTGAATTTTTACACCTGTTTCTTCTCACCACAGACACTACCAAATCTGATGTCAGAGACTGTTTCTCGTCCTTCCACTGCATGAAAAATGGAGGATAAGGCCTGACTTGCATCTGAAACTGTTGGGTGATTAGCAAACATAGCTTAAAAAACAAAACAATCAAAACAAAATAAAAAAGGCTAGGCCCAGAGAAAAACGATGCATGCTTGATCCTGATCCTTCTGAGTGTTATTAACATAAAAAAAGAGTTTTGCGTTCCCCTAAATTTACACCAATGCCCCCAATATAGCTTCCAGTTCCCCGAAACATCTCTCCTTTTCACCATCATCCTAGATGCTGCAATTCTAAATCAATCCACAGCCAACCATCACCGCATCTGAATTGCCTCACCCTTGCTAGCCATCCCCTATGAACCACCTCTGTGCATTACAGAGTTGCAACTCACTTGAACTTTGCTTGAATCCTGTGGCAGAATGGACAATGACATTCAGGAATCCATAGAGACCTGGGGATTCATCATCTGCACAAAAGATGCAAATAAATTTGTTGAAGTTCACAGAGGAGCCAAGAGAGAAAGATAGAGCGATGAGATTGGTATTTCACAGGTTTAGGGGTTTGGAGTAAGGTAGCAGGAGCACGTAATCTAGCCAATTTTGTAAAGGGGAGGGGAATCACTGTTCCAGGTTCACTGTCTGTTCCACCTGTAATACCTTCTGGAAATTTGGAGGGGGTTTTATAAAGTCACTTCTAGGGTCAACAAGACAGTATGGGATACATTCAAAAGAGAACAAGTAAAATAAAGAAGCTAAGTCTATACTAGCAGGTTAAATTGTAATTTAGGCACTGGAGTTATTCAGATGGTTAGGATGGTCTATGACACAGTTTTGACCTTTGCCAACTAGTGCTCTTCCAAAAGGTTCCCAGGCATACTTCAGGTGTTGGCCCAGGCCAGGGCTCCAACAGGCACTCAACTCCCTAGCAGGAGATGCCAACATCCCTGGCAGGACGGCTAAACAGCATGCAAAGGCTGGTTAACAATCATTGCATATATACTGGAGGATGGTCCAGGGATATTTATTTTTACTAACATAGATGTAGCCATACAGTTTGTAGCTTGTATTTTTATTGTTACAAGTAACACTGGGATCACTGATTGCTCTTGTCTCTGCTGGCTCTCTCTTGTGCTATCAACTACTTCAGCTAAGCTACACAGAAAAATACATATGGTCTCAAATTTAATTTTACAGGAACCATCAGCTTGTAACTTGTCACCGGGTTGAAGCCCGTAGCAAAAAGAGTAAGAGCAGCTGTAGAGGAAACACAAAGAAAGGCAAAGGTAGGTTTTCACTCCAGCTGTGCTATATGAAAGCAGAAACCATAGGTCTCACCTTCCTTATTGATAGTGAGGGGAATGTTGTGGACTGTCTGCAGCTTCACGCAGGAGTTTGTCAGCATCTGGAGCTCCACTGATGTGAGGGAGAAGCTTTTAAAGCCTGCCAAGGAGGTTCAAAGGAGCAGTTAAAATTCAAAGCAGAGGCTGGATGTATGCTCCCTTGTTCTGGGCATACACTGGATAGCAGCTCCCTGGGCAATGCCCAGTGACAGTACCATGGCGCTTATGGCTGTACTGCTGCTGCAGCCCAGCTCTGCTTAGGGCACGTTTAGTTACTCTCCGGTGTAAAAAGTCTCAGGGTGGTGCACAGGAAGCAAGAGGGCCTCTCATTTTCTTGCAAAGTCAAAAAATACCCATTCCAAAAAGTAAATCAGGCTGGAGCCAAGTAAAAGGGTGCAGCTGTTCCCTCAACCCGGAACTCCAGAGAGCTCTGATCCCTAGGGGTAACAGATAATCCCTCTGCACACTCGATGAGTGCTGTCTCCACACATTCCCTGGGTGCTGTTGCAAGCAAAAGTCCCTCAGACAGGCTCAGATGAAGAAAGACAGAAGACACCCATATAGT